CCCCAAAACCCCAAAACCCCAAAACCCCATAGGCCTATATAATAAAGGATAAGAGTAAAGTGTTGAATAATCTGAAAGTGAGCTTTAATTTTCAAATAATGCACAACATTATTTTAATTCGAGGATGTAAATAACAATCTAAGTAGTTGGTCATTTGCTATTGTGAGTTGGCAGTTGCTACTAAGTTATGCTGACTTTAATGGATGGCTTGACTGTTATCAAGTTGCTACTGCTATCCATTTTTCTAATTTTACCCAAAAGGGTCTACTAGTCTTTTTAAGAGTGAATAGTGTTGGTAGTAAGAAAATCTTACTTGTCAGTAGTTTTCATGTCAAGGTTGGCTTGAGGCTAGGGTATCTTGATGGTTTACAAAGCATTGGCTGGTGATGGTAAGCCCATAGATCTCATATTCTTGGTTTGAATATCAGCTAGCAGAAGGTCATTGTCGTTTTAAGGGTTCTTGAGCTTGCCACTTCCTGCCACGAAAGCCTCTAATTTTTGCTTGATCAGTTGCTGTTAGGCAATTGACTGCTGAGTTAATGGAATGCTTTGGAGATCAATACCTAGATTTTAGGCAGCTCTCTCAATACTGCCAGGTGGAAGATTGATGTTCTACAACCCTTCCAACTCTAGAAGCTAAGCACCTTAAAGGCCATTCTGCAGAGCCCAGGCTAATTGCTTTGCCACCTTTTCTCTCTCTGTCTTACTACCTGCGTTATGCTTTAGTTTCATATGCAAGTTCAGAGAACCCTCTGACCCATAATACTTGTCACAGCCATTATAGGGGCAGATGTAACTCTTGTCGATTTCATTCGCACACCTTCTGAAGTGCTTCTTTCTTCCGCTTTGGTACCTTTCGAATTCAGCGCTCTAAGACTATACACTAAAGTTATTACTCATGTTGTTAGTAGACTACTGTTTGTTGCCAAGCAAAGGCTAAGTTTGAAGTACTGACTGTTACTACTACTTACTGTAGAGGTCTCTCGAACTTCCTCCTGCACTTATCCCTTATCTTATACCACTAGGTTACAGACCTTGTGGTTAAGTATAATAAATAGGTTGTTGTTATTATTATTGTTGAATAGATTATTTGGTAGGTTTTGCCAATAATTTCTTATTAGAGTCTAAAGAGTTATCTTCTTTCAACTGTTTCTACTCTTCATTTGTCTGAGTCATATTCTAGATATCAGATTCCTCTGACCTCAGACTAATTTAAGAGCTATCTGCAGACTATTATGATTTCTAGTTTAGCATTTGAATCGATGAGCCATCCAACTTAGAAGTTTGAGATTCTTGCTTGAATTTTTCTGAACAAACCCTTATCAGAATTTCATTGCGGCTCTGCATATGTTACTAAAATTACTTAAGTAGATGCTAGTTTGACTTGAAAATATGGGAGTAAAGTTAGAAGTAATCTATGTTCTCATTATACTCAAGTTTAGGCAAACCTATTAAATATTAAAAGAGCAAAACTTACTGTTTTCGAGGACAATCTGCTGTTATGGCTTTTGAATAGAGATTTCTTTTTAGTCAGTGAAATTATTTAATTTTGCTTAATTTATTATATCCCAATTCAATTTCGATTTTATTTCTGGATCTTAATTGGGAATAAATTTTTACTTCTTTAATATCTTACTGCTAGTACTAGAACCCTACTCCTACTATTACTATTTTAAACTGTCTAGTTATTAGAGCTGCTACTGTAAGTTGCTATTGTCTAGTACAAACCTTTAGTTCAAAGGTTGTAGTTTCAAGTTTAACTCTTTTTGACCTGCCATCTCTCCTATTTATGGTTTAAATGCGGGATCATATCTCATTATGCCTGAGATATTATTTAGAGGTTTGTTTAATAGACTGAGTTCCTAATGAATATTCAAAGGTGTCAATTAGGGCCTTAAAATTCTGTCATTTTATACTAATTACTGTTACAACTGTAATTAGTCAAGTCTAGCATCATTGGTCAAAATGATAGGATGATAAGGCATAGTTATCATGGAGAGGGGTTAGGCGATTCGACTAGCCAGGGCAGCTGATGGTGAGATTACGTTTTTGTGCAAAGCGGGGTTTGCATCATATTTCTCGTAATTGTCAATAAGGATCTCAGGAGCCTTTCTCTTTCCTAAACATTTGATACTCTCATCCACAGTATTGGTTTGACTAAGTTATTATGCTTGACTCTACTGTGATTCTACCGTCTCTACTGCCTTTTTATCAATTTCCACTCCATTCAATATGATTGGTTTATCTGGTGATATAAGAGAGGATTAAGTGCCGCTATTTAGTTGAGTTACTCTAGTTGGGGAATCGAACTGCTCATTGGTTAAGTCACTCTAGTTATTTAGCTTTGGCGGGCCCTCCAAAGATTTGGGCTCGTCTTGCTAATAAGTGGAATTTCTGGTTAGCTAGGTCCTCATTGGACAAACTTGTCTGCTTTAATTCTTTGTGTTTAAATTATATTTTGAATAGAATTAAAATTTATTTGATCTAAAATTAAAATGCAATCCTGAGCCTATGGGGTTTTGGGGTTTTGGGGTTTTGGGG